TCCTCAGAGAGGGGTTTCTGATAAAGTGGCCGGGTGTAGTGGTGGGTAACAGTGTGTGATGGTGTGAATGTGTTAATCAGAGCTGTGGGGTGATGAGAGAGGAACTCGCTCAGACTCTGAGGCAGCTGGAGCTGAAGAAGAAGAAGCTGCTGACTCTGCTGCCCTTCCTGGAGTTCATCACATGGTCTCTGCTCAGACATGACCAGGTCAGATAAACTGTTTATTTTAAATAAACATAAACATTAAATATTTTTACATTTAATTTTTTTATTACAAAAATTAAAAAGTAGAAAAGTGCAGAGTGATTGTGTTGGTTTGGTTTGAAAGGGGTCACTGGTGTTCCGGGTAGTTGCTATGCTGTCATGAGGTGGTGTCATGATGTTTGCTCCATGGTTGCTATGGTATGTCAGGTGGTTGTTAAGGTATCCCAGGTATTTGCTAGGGTATTACTAAGTGGTTCATATGTTACTTCAGGTGGTTGCTATGGTATCTCAGGTGGTTGCTAGGCAGTTGTTAAGGTATCCCAGATAGTTGCTAGGGTGTTACTAAGCGGTTCATGTGTTATTTCAGGAAGCTGCTATGGTATCTTAGGTGGTAGTTAGGTTATCCAGGGTGGTTGCAAGGTTGTTGTTATGGTATCCAAGGTAGTTGCTAAGGTGTTGCTGAGTGGTTCATATGTTATTTCAGTTGGTTGCGCTGGTATCTCAGATGGTTGCTAGGTAGTTGTTAAGGTATCCAAGGCAATTGCTAGAATGTTACTAAGTAGTTCATATGTTACTTCAGGTGGTTGCTATGGTATCTCAGGTGGTTGCCAGTTGATTGTTAAGGTATCCAAGGTGGTTGCTAGGGTGCAACTAAGTAGTTCATATGTTATTTCAGATGGTTGTTATGGTATCTCAGATGGTTGCTAGGGGATTGCTAGGTGGTTTCTATGGTATTTTAGGTGGCTGCTAAGGCGTTGCTGTGTGGATGCTTAGGTGGTTCCTAGGGGACTGCTAGATGGTTGCTAAGGTGTCTCAGGGGGTTACTAGGTGGCTCCAGTGGTGTCCCAGGTGGTTGCTAGGGGGTTAGTCTAGTATCGCATGGTTGCTAGGGAGCTGCTAGTGTACTTGTATTAAACAGTTGCTACACATTTGTACATTTAGTCAAAAACCTGTTTACAAGCACAGCTCACAATCATGTAGAACATTCTGGAATCAATATCTCAAAAACTGTAAGACAAGTTAGCAAATTAGTTTTTTTAGAAAGAAAACAGGAGAAAAAATCAATATTCTGGGCGAATCTGTATCACAGTTTAGTTACTGTATCACAGTTTAGTTGCGTGCTCAGAGTTTATGTGCTCAGTTTTACGGTTTACAGTTTACTGTAAAGCCCTGAGGAGCTCAGCCTCGTCCAAACAACCGAGTTTATAATACCGAGAGTGACGAACTTCAGCAGATAAAGACCATAAACTCTGAGCTCCGGCTGAACTGGACGAGTTCGTCCTCCATTAACTCTCACACTTCAGACTGAAGATGACTTTATTAAGACTTACACAACACAGACTAATCTTCATATCCATAATGATCAACTCATTTCAGCACAGCTCAACTTTTACTCCCGACTCTTTCAACACTTTAGTGTCCTCTTCTTTTATGTTTCCTGAATTCAAACCTCTTAAAACTGATGTTTTTTGGGGTTTTATGATTTACTGTTAACACTGTACTCTTTACTGGGTTTCACAGGGTTTGGTTTCTCAGGTGTGGCTGTTATGTAAGCAACGTACCTGGAAAACAGGTAAGCTCAGTACCGTCACTGTAGAGGTCAGACCGTGTGAACAAAAAAAATCCCATTCCACCTTAAATGGTGCAGTAATTTCATTCTGGCCAAAAAACCTAATTTCAGCTTCAAAATCTTGATCAAAGTGAATTTATTTATCATTCATTTGAATTTATGAACCATGAATTTTATATTTAAGAATATTCAGTGGTGAACTGTTGTCGTCCAAAGACTTTTTGTTGTATTTTTTATTGAGAATATGCTGAATTGATGTGATGTGAATATGTGAACTCAGAACTGTGTTTAGTTCTTTATCCAACAAATTCACTACTGAATTCATTATTTTGAAATATTTTACTTCACATAAATTCTAATTCCATGTACAGTAAATAAACACAACTCAAAATGAATTAAAATATTGATCTGTATAATTCTGTCTGTTTTACTTCCATAATGCTGCATATGTGACCCACATTTCTTATGTTCTTTAATAGTCATGAATCAAAATTTTTTTTCAAATTTTTGGACAGAAACTCCGAAGTACATTCCAAATTCAGGTAATTTTTACTGCCCTTTTTACCGCGTCTGTATTTTGTACATTTGAAGATGATATTATATGATCTTTTGTTTGCATTAGTGTTCGTGTATCATAAACGGTGATGAACGTGATTGATTCTGTGGTTGTTCATTCTGGCTGTTCTGTCTTCTTGCAGTGTGGATGTGGATCTGCAGCGCTGCAGGTAACGAATTAGTCTCGCTCTAATTACACCAATCTTACATGCCTAAAGCGCTCTGCCTGAAACCGTGTTGACTTCAATTTTCTGTTCCACCTTAAATGCTGCAGCAGTTACAATGAGTGCATTTACTTGCGCTTAATAATCCGATAACTGCTGAAAATCAGATTTTGTCCGTAATCCGATCAATGTTTACATGCACTTGAGTAATCAGACAATGGAGAAACTCATGAGTCAGGCAGCAATCAGATTTCTGCTTTACAATCAGCCAATAAACTCACAGAAGACGTGATGTAAACGTAACGTAAAACTCATCCTGCAGCTTATTTTTAATGATATCGCACCGCTTTTCCTGAAAATATGAACATCAATCATCAGAACATGAAGAATATTCAAATCCTTCATTTGTCCAGCATGTATTTGGTTTCAGCGTTGCTCTAAAAATGTTTTGCTGTGTCCCGCGGCGACGATACTCACTTATTTCCGGTACCACCGTCTGTTTTCGCACATGCTCAGACTGAGAAAACTTTATTTATCAGATTTCTTTATCAGATTTCTTGATCAGATTTCTAGACTTTACTCCAATCTGAGAAATCTGAATGTACTGTTTACATGACCATCTGAATAATCAGATAACTGCAGAAATCTGATTATGATTGGATTAATAAGTGCATGTAAATGTGGTGCCTGAACGTGACTGCTGTACTGTTTAAGGTGGAACGTACTGTTTTCCTCTTTTCACCTCTTTTTTCTCTCCTAGTTGACGTCTCTATGGACCCGCTGACCAACCACCGCTGGCTGCAGGTGTCAGATGACCGTAAGCGTGTCCAGGAGGCTCTCAGTGAGACGGAGGTGGAGCCTAACGTGCAGCGGTTCGACGGTTGGCCGTGCGTGCTGGGCTGGCAGGGTTTCTCTTCCGGACGTCATTACTGGGAGGTCGAAGTGGCCAACAACGGATACTGGCGTCTCGGGGTGACCACGGCATCGTCCAAACGCCACGGACGGCTCCCCATGAGCCCCTGCCAGGGATTCTGGGTAATCTGGAGGAGCACTCGGCAGTTCTATGCCTGCACCAAACCTGAAACCCCGCTGCCCCTCACACTGGTGCCCAAGAGAGTGGGCATCTACCTGGACTTTGAGGAGGGTCAGGTGTCCTTCTATAACGCAGAGGCACGCTCACATATCTACACCTTTACTGGACACTTCAAAGAGAAACTGTATCCACTCTTTGCACCGCTGGACGGACGCACCCTCATGACGCTTCGGTCACCGGACACACCACCAGAGACTTAGGAGATGCCAACGTGCCCCTTTAGTAGAACTTAACTGTTGAGTCTCCGCCCACAACTGTGTTCTTTCAGAGCTGCTGCTGTGAAGCTTTACAGACAAATCCCATCCAAACACACGACTCAGTTTATATCACAATACCTACATTTAGAGTCAGTTATTCATTCAGCCTAATGAGAAACTGTAGAACAGACTCAGTTTATACCACAATACCTACATTTAGAGTCGGTTATTCATTCAGCCTAATGAGAAACTGTAGAACAGACTCAGTTTATACCACAATACCTACATTTAGAGCCAGTTATTCATTCAGCCTAATGAGAAACTGTAGAACAGACTCAGTTTATACCACAATACCTACATTTAGAGTCAGTTATTCATTCAGCCTAATGAGAAACTGTAGAACAGACTCAGTTTATACCACAATACCTACATTTAGAGTCAGTTATTCATTCAGCCTAATGAGAAACTGTAGAACGGACTCAGTTTATATCACAATACCTACATTTAGAGTCAGTTATTCATTCAGCCTAATGAGAAACTGTAGAACGGACTCAGTTTATATCACAATACCTACATTTAGAGTCAGTTATTCATTCAGCCCTGAGTAATCAAGCCTAAAATGTTAATTTATTAAGCTAGCAATTCCTAAAGAGCTGAAGTTGGTGAATCTTCCGTTTAGTGTATCAGACGCCTTAATTATACAAAGAAAGCTTATCGGTCATTAGGCTGAATGGGATTTATATCAGTGTTCTGTCCAACCTCACGAAAGGAACTAAGGAACACACATGTGGGCGGAGCCTGGAGAGGAGAACTGAAACTGCTGGACATTCTAGTTTTTTTTTCCTCATGGATGCAGTAGGATTGCCTCAGTTAGCCCGATAACAAGGAGAACTCCACCACTTTTTCAGAAGTTCCACATAATTAATTGTTTGAGATGTAAAGAGTGGTTTGGTGTAAAACGTTCTAGATAAACTTAGCGAGTCTGAATTGTTCACAGTGGTGGTGATAGGAACCAGACGTCCACCTCTAAAAGCTCCCTCACAGAAAGTTCCTACATGAAATGGTTATGAATTCACTGCCTGATGACTGAGACACTGTTTTATGATAGTTTAGAGAACTTAAACTCCATTCATGGTGGAGGGATACATGCAGGGCGCTGTGAGGCAAAATAGTCCCCAAAGAAAACTTATTATTTCAGATTTTCCACTATTTTCCATCATCAACATTCCATATAAACTCAGAAGACTCGTGTAGGTTCACTGGTGGTTCTGGATAGTAAATAAAATGTCTATATCTGTGTTGTAGTCATGGCGACCCCTGGTTCCTATCACCACCACTGTAAAGACATCTGAACCATTTCACACCAAAACACTCTGAATCTCTCTGTTTACATCTCACACACTGAGTTATGGGGGAATTTTGAAAAAATGGTGGGATTCCCCTTTAAGCCTAAAGTCAATAGGAAAAGAGAGAGGGGGTATTTCTATTGTGTAGAATTTGATTTTCATTCATCAATTTATACAATTAGTAAATTAAAGTTTTCTTCTGAGGATTTTCACTGGATGATCTGAAGTGAAACTGGTTAAGACTGCTGAGTACAGCTTGATTAAAACACTGGAAAACAGCTGAAACGTTTCAGTTTCATGTTCTGTCCATTTGAAAGCAGTTTGTCGTCATAAACAATGAAACTCCTCTACAATATGTTTTAAAAAAACACTAAAAATGTTCCCGTTCTTTAAAACTGAAAGCTTGTTTTGTTGGTAAACGCTGTAATTAATTCCCACACAGCAATTAAAGACAAAGACCTTTTTAAAGAAAAATTATTCAAGAATTTATTTTTATTACATTTTCTTTTTTTTCCAAAAAGACAGAGAAAGGCTACAGTGAACTACATTTGTAGATAAATGCGATAAATGTAGATAAATGAAAAACTAAAGGCTGTTCATGACCGAGTAAAAAATAACAACCGAACAGCACTTTATATGGAGAAGAAATATATATATGTAAAAAAAAGGACAAATGTATCAAGAATATCAGGATGGATCTTGGTGCCCTGAGTTTTTCTTTAATGCACCATAATGAAGAACCATTCAAGTTATACAAAAAACAAAGAACAAAACCCCCACAGTGTCTGTCGATCAGCCGATCTATGATACAGATCGATTATTTAACAATCACGTCATCGAACCAAGCAGTGAGAACAAACTAACCAGAGTCAGCTGTAATTATGGCTGTGCATTAATCGGATACTGATTGACTGACAGGTGAACGGCTGCAGAGGCGGTCTGGGGTGAACAGGGTCGGCTGCTGATCAATAAAACGTTTTTATTCACTGCACACGAGACTGCATTTCACTCTGAATCGTTTTAGCTTATCGTGTTTACTGGTTTACTCGTCATTGGCAGGTTAATCAGCTTTAAAATTAACTAACGAAGGACATAAAATACAGAAAAAAACTGCAAAATATTCAAAAGGCTCCAGCAGGGCTGCCAAATTAAAAAGGGTATTTTTAGGAAGTATTTCAAAATGTATAATCTCACTTACTGCACGATTTCAATACATTTTAATGAACGTAATTAATGACCTACAAGCATCAAACTCATAACAGTAGCCAGTGAACAGATGCTGAACCGTGTCAGTGAGATTTGTTTGTTTTGGTAGATGAAAGTCAGAGTCAGATGAAAGTGTTTATCAAGTGTTTATAAATCTATAATTTTTCACAGCCTCTGCCTCCTGATCGCCATGGAAACCAGAAAAGGCATCTGCTCACAGACGTCTGTTATAAACGGGTTTATAAACGTGTTCATGGCGACGTGCTGAAGCTGCTGTTGGTGCTAACCGATGGTACAGATACAGGAGATAAAGACCAGCATGGAGTTTTAATTAAAGATCATTCCGGACAGTTTAGCAGATTCAGTGACCAGCACTGACCGACCTGTAATAACGTAGTGAATCTGCCACTAAACCACTAAACACAGTCTGACCACTGTATCATCCTCACACACACCCAGCAGGAACGGATATGGTCACTATGGTCCAGTTTTTGCAGACAGTTTTGCAGTGTTTAATAACGCAACACCAACCGTAATGAATGGAACTGATGACGAGTTATTAAAAAAGGTCAAAAAATGACCCACCCACCCCCCCCTCCCCCAAAAGCAAGTAAATCTTGAACGAAAATAAAAGGACATTAAAAAGAATGAGCCCCTCTCTCTCTCTCTCAGTCCGAGTCACTCTTCTCCTCCTTCACCAGCAGCTTCTTCCCTCGTTTCGGTTCAGGAGCTCCGTCTCGCTCTTTCCTCGAGCTCTTAGAGTGACTGAAACAGAGAAGAAGAAGAAAAGCAGCTAAACAGTGAGAGAACGAATAGGAGTGCAGACATTAGACGGCTTAACTAGTTCAGATTAAATTCAATTCAGCAACCAATACGAATTCTTCAGCATCTACTACGAATTATTCAGTAATTATTTTAAATTATTTAGTACATTCTATTAATTATTCAGTATCCACTATAGTTAATATTCATTACACTAGTGAAATGTGTGTGTGTGTGTGTGTGTGTTCAGACTCACAGTTTCTGGCGGTACTTCTCAGCGTCAGCAGGGGGCACCACATCACTGAGCTCCAGACCATCATTAATCTTCTTTAGAAGTTCATAACGCTCTCGACCTCTAACCTACAGAGAGGGGAAGAGAGGGGAAGAGAGAGGGAGAGAGAGGGAGGGAGAGAGAGGGAGGGAGGGAGGGAGGGAGGGAGAGACGGGGGGGGGGCAGAGGGAGGGGGAAAGAGAGAGAGAGGGAGGGGGAGAGAGACAGAGGGGGGGGAGAGAGGGAGGGAGAGACAGAGGGAGGAAATGCCATGTCTTTTCTATAATAATAAATTGCTTATTGTACTTTATTTTTATCAGTAATTTTAGTTGAGCATTTAGTTACTGAGAGTAAGGCTTTGTCGCCCCCTCTGGTGGAACTGGAATCTGTCCCAGATACACTGAATATAACAGATACATAACTGTGGTTTAAATTACATACATTAAAAGTGCTGTTTGACGTTTTTGTTCTGATTTTTCCATTTTTCAACCCTTATAATCTCAGTCCTCACTAAAACACTCAGCCTGTGTTTGTGTACCTGCAGCGTGTAGATCTCCTCATCACTGCTGCTGCTGGTCTTGGCCTTCTTGCTGGCCTCAGGGCGGGAGGTCGGCTCCTTCAGGGCTGAGGGGTCAGAGGTCAGATTAAGGGGGAGTTTAATGTTTACAGTGTTATTACACTGAAGGTGGCAAGTCGATCACAATATTGGAATATTCTAATCAATTATAATACGCAGAGTGTGTTTTGATGTTTTGGTAAAAATAAATCAAACAAATCAAACTACTCCCCCTCGGTGTTGTCTATACTCCACTACTGTGTAAACAGTTCATATATTCAGTGTATTTATACTCAATTATATCTGCTCGATATGGAAAAAATACCATATCACAATACTTCATCACGAGTAGGGACTCACTGATAACAGGATTGTGGGCTGATGCAGATATCTGATATTTTTATGTACATATCTGCCATCATCAATACATAAACGTTTATAAAATGCATTAAATGTATGCTCAGAGAAGCATTCAGTGATTCGACGCAACAAAATACTGCCCGTGTTACTCACCTCTATTCTCAGTTTATATTCAATATCAACCATTCAAAACATTAAAACAAATAAATACATAAAAAATGATCTGAAATGTGCCACAATAAGGGAAGTGAACATGCTGAACTGCTTCCTACACATTCATGACTAAACTGTAACAGAATAACTCTCAGTCTCTCTCTCACAGCGTTTGTTGGTAGCCGGTGTTTTGTTGGTATTTTTGGCCTCCTGCAATTTCCTGAAGTTACTCTCCTCCGTCTTCCTGTCCCGACCCGGACACGCACAGACACGCACCTCAAACGAGCGCCGGCCCAGCAGCTGACCACTACAGGACACAGAGAGAGAGACAGGGAGGATCAAATGAGCGTTACAGAGCACTGAAGGACACTAAATAGAAGCCATATCGCCCCCTACACTTCCTGTAGTGTATTACAGTCTGTCAGAGTGACTGTGTGGATCATATGAACATTACAGAGCTTTTTAAATGAAACAGTAGAAGCCATATCGCCCCCTACACTTCCTGTAGTGTATTACAGTCTGTCAGAGTGACTGTGTGGATCACATAAACATTATAGAGGCTTGTTAAATGAAACAGTAGAAGGTGTGTAGTATGTAACTCACTCCTGAGTTTCCAAGGTGACGATGGTGAGGATGGGTCTCCGATTCATCCCACCCATACAGCTGCTGTTACACATATAGTTGTACAGCACTGTTGTGTACTCCGACCCAACCTACACACAGACAGAGAGAGGGTTCAACAATAAACACGTACAGTATTCTCCTGAGAAACACATTTGTGTATGAGCTGGTAACACTTTACATTAGCTACATAACACTGACGTAACAATGCCATAAACAAGTCATAGCGGATGACGACAGCATCTGATGATAATAGTTAGCAGTAATGGTAACACGACATTGGTTTGGCTTTGTAATAGAATAGTCATGACCTGAGGACCTGATCGACGCTACATCGCAGCCTGGGCTGGCTGCTTGGATGACGCTGCGCTGCAGCTGTGGGGCTGCCTGGACCGGTAGTGTTTGGCTGCCTGGACCAGGAGTGTTTGGCTGCCTGAGCGACGCTACATCGCAGTGACGTGGCTGCCTGGGCCAGCCGCCTGGGTAACGCTGCACTGCAGCTATGAGGCTGCTGGACTGGTGGTGTTCGGCTGCAGGGAAATGCTCCCCCTTCGTGGCTAAGGACATTTTGAGCCTTCGAGACTTCCTAGGCCAGCCCCTGTTTGATGCACCACGGCTAAGGACTCTTTCCGGGCTAGCTAAGTGACTCTATACCGTGGTCAGTGAAAGCCCCGGCTAGCTGTGGGAACTGTGGAGTTGTGTGCGTGTTCTGTGTTATGTATTGTTGATTATGTATTTTATTATGATTGGAAAGCATCCTTGAGCATGGGAAAGGTGCTATATAAATAAAAGTGATGATGATGATGATGATGATGAGAGTCTTGGTGAAAACTGCGTAAGTGGGTTTTAGGAAGAAATTTGTTCTTGAGAACAGTTGGTGAATGAGGCCCAATGATTCTTCACAGTATCTCTTCAACAGTATCCAACACCTTCATCACAGATGTTCTGTTAGCTTTACCTTTGGCCCTGTTCACACAAGCATTAACAAGCATTCTGGGTGATCAGATCAAAAGTGGACAGCGCAGAGTGAAGGTGTCACTCTTGGAGACACGTTGTGATCAGAGTACTCAAACCAGAGTACACAAACCACCCGAGGTGGTCAGGGACGCATATGACCACAGAACGTTTACAGTGTGAACGCTACAGGGACCGCTTTAGGCTGATGGTTCACTACGCAACTTTTAAAATCTTAGCGGATTTCTAAACCGGAAAGCATCACACGCTTAACGTCAGTCTGTCACAGAATTCCTGGCCTTCTCGCTGTGAGGCGCTCAGACTAGACCACAAGGCAAAGAGACAGCATAACACACAACGATTTTCAGCTACAATTAAGAATTCACACTCCCAGATCCCCTCAGATCACACGACACACACAGAGCTGAACTCAGTTCTATGCATGGCGAAAGCTCAAACTAGGGATGGATATGAGGTGAGAAACGCTGATATCACAGTGAGAGCTGGAGAAATATTTCACTACAAACTGGCAGCTGAGCTGAAACTGTAAAGACACTGACCTGGATCAACATTATAAACTCTATGAACATAATAATCATGATAAACATTATAAACATGATATCAACGCTTATCTGGTTGTGTTTATACACAGCTCCTCTGTCTCCGCTCCACTGTTCATACTCAGCTCTTCGCCTTTTTCTCTGCTCTTCCAGCTCTCCGAATCTCTCGCTGAGTTCATCTCACACTGCAGGACTCGTGAACGTTCGGAGTTGGAAATAGTAAACGTTTAATAACATCTGAGGGTCTCTGATCACTTCAGAATTCGATCGGAGGCTAAAGATTCATTCGTTTCTCCGCTCAAATCAACAGATCATCTGCGCCATCACTTCTGATCTGATTCTCAACCTCGAGGATCGTTTTAGATTGTGAAAATTTGTCAGGGGCAAATCGGGGCTAAAATCGGCTAAATCAGTCTAAATCAGCTGCGCCACCAAAAAAACAGCTGCTGTAGCTTCATTTGTCATCGCCTCTACCGTTTGTTTACGAGCTGCATTAGAGGTTCATGTCTAAACGTTTCAACAGTTCTTTCATTTACAAAAACACGTCTGTCTGACAACAAACACGAGTTACACGTAGTAATTGTGGGTGGTCCTCAACCTCCAGTCAGGAATCCGATCACTGGAGATGCATTCGAGATGCCAGATATGAACAGCTACACATCTCGCTGTTCATATATGATCAGATCACTCGAGACAGATGCTAATACCAGGTGTGAACGGGGACTTTTTCACCTTTGATACAACATGTCTCTTCTCTTTTGTGTGAAAGGTCAGAGGTCGCAGATGATGTACCTGTGGGGGTTCGTAGGGCACCAGCACGCTGTGGCGGAGAGTGTTATCATCCTCCTGATACTGCGCCCGGGGGTTTCCCTCCACACGCAGCAGATGACCAGGAGGAGTCAGGCCTAGAGACAGAACACACTCAGCTAACTGAACTACACCACGCTACAGTCATACAGACCAACATCACACCACACACTGCAGACACACAGCCTGGAACGCCACGCAGGCCTGACAGCTCTCTTTGTTAGATTGAGCAGTGCTCTACACTGACTAAGATCTGGGGACAGCGGTAAGACCTGAGGACAGCTCTAAGATCTGGGGACAGCGGTAAGACCTGAGGACAGCTCTAAGATCTGGGGTTAGTTCTAAGATCTGGGGATAGCGCTAAGACTTGGGGATAGCGCTAAGACCTGGGGATAGCGCTAAGACCTGGGGATAGCGCTAAGATCTGGGGTTAGTTCTAAGATCTGGGGTTAGTTCTAAGATCTGAGGATAGCTCTAAGATCTGAGGATGGCTCTAAGATCTGGGGATAGTTCTAAGATCTGAGGATAGCTCTAAGATCTGAGGATAGCTCTAAGATCTGAGGATAGCTCTAAGATCTGGGGATAGCTCTAAGATCTGAGGACAGTTCTGAGATCTGAGGACAGTTCTGAGATCTGAGGACAGTTCTGAGATCTGAGGACAGTTCTGAGATCTGAGGACAGCCCTTAGCTCCGAGTTCTTTGACATTGTCACAAAAATCTAAATACATCTTGCTAACTAGCACAAATAAATAAAGTAAGAGAAGAAAACATTAGTTAATCTTCTCTAATCTCTCTCTGATCTTCCCAGATCAAAGTTTATTGAACGTAGCTAATTAGCACAGCCATCAAAGTGAGGCAGGCTAACATGAGTTAACATTAACTCTCACGTCATCCTAAGGCTGCTGTTTACTAGGTGTGGCTGACGTGGTTGTTAGAGTTCTAGATTATCTGAAGCAGCATGCGTGCGTGCGTGCGTGCGTGCGTGCGTGCGTGCGTGCGTGCGTGCGTGTGCGTGTGCGCGCGTGTACCGTCATTGTTCTCGGGTGTCCTCTCGTGGTGGGGGCAGCGGCGGACCACCTCTGCCACGTGCTCCGCTTTCTTATACACCGCTGTGGCCCTCAACACTGCCCCCGGTGGAGGAGGGGAGTTGACCTCCATCTGCACCGGACACGTTTTTGCAAGCTGACAATACAGCTTATTGAGCTCAGGAGAAAACTGCAGAGAGAAAAACACAAAACACAGAACCATCAGTCGCTTTAGGATTCAGTAACAAAGTCACACTGGAGTTTTAGTTATTTCTGACTCGTTCACTGAAACGAGTGGAGGAACTGGAAAGAGAAGAGTGTAAACTTACAATCCAGATCACATTAGTGTCCACGAGCGGAAGACGAGACATTTTATTATGATTTGAATTTGATTAACAATCAAGCAAAAACTATTTCTGAACAGGCTTTAACTCCTTAAATAATCCAGGCTTATTGCATCCTAAGGTCCTGACCATTTTAAAGGGTTAAACCAAAAGTTAAGCCTCTCCTGTAAGAAGAGAGGTCAGAGACATTTCTACCGGACAGTCGTCAGAGCATAAAGCAAACAGAGAACAGAAAAACTTGTCCTTTATTGAGAAGCTGGATTCTTACAGAATAACTTAATCAGCTTTACCAAGTATTGTTTTTAAACAAAATAATCTGTCCACTTAAACGGGTTTACAAAAGCATGAAGCGGACAGAACTGGCGTCGGAGGAGACAGCAAATTACAAGGAAAAAAACTTTGCTTCTCAAAGTGAAGAAAAAACAAACACAAAGAAATACATCAAAAAAAAAAGTCTAAAATATTCCAATAACAGATCAACGTCAATCAGAGCAGAACACGCAGTTAAATCCTCTCCTCGTGAGCGATAACTGAGTATTTAATGTAATTTCTGTTCTTACCCTCCTGATCAGATACAGTCTGCAGATCTTCATTTCTCCATAACTGCCCCCCCCACAGTCTGAGTTTCTAATGAACTGAATACTGTTTAACCCTCACAGTCCGACCGCAGGAGACTCCACCATTCTCACTCACTCACTCACTTCCTTGCTCGCTCACTCACTCACACTGCTGAGCAGACATGTTCAGACACGTCCCTGCATTCTCTCACACACACACACACACACACACACACACACACACACCATTTCTATTTATTTACTGTGTTTAACACATTGGCAAAAGAAAAAAAAGAAACAAAATACAAAATGTGCCAATACTTTTGCACAGGCCACATTTTGTATTTTATTTTTCCTCCACTGTTTAAAATACAGTGATTAAAAACAGTGACTGTAGTAAAATGTACAGCAGTGTGTCTCTGTAGAGGATGTTTCGACTTATTCACACTCAAAATCAACACGGCGCTGAACCGGGGTGCACAAACTTTTTCACAGCTTATATAACAGAACTGTGCAAAAGTTTAGGGCAATCTGCTTCAAACTGCGTATCTCAGCAGTAAGTAAGTACGTCTGTACCAGTAAAGTCACTATTTAACATCAGAATAAACACAAATAAAAAAAAAATAGAATTAAAAATTACAAAATTATAAAAAGAATTTTACATTAAAATCTAGCTGACCTCTCGGGAGCTGATTAGAACACCACAGGTTTGGATCCCACTTTCTCACTGCACTCCAGCCGAAATCTATTAGTTTATTGGTTGATTTATTAAATGTAGACATATTAATAAGGTTTTTAACATGTACTTATTAAAACATTAATAACACTGTGACCCACATTATTAGTGTTTTGGGGAAAACGCAGTTCCTTCATGCGAGACATTTATTTTATAAAATTCACTGTAACTTTTGTACAATAGTGTTAAACAAGGAACAAACAGTCCTGTTAATGAAACATATACACAATTTATACATATAATTTTGAATATAAAAGCAGTGAGTCTTCATTATGAGGTCAGATCCATTAGCATAGCACAGAGAAATAAACGCTTAGTATTATTAATAGCACTATTATTGTTATTACTATTAAAGAAAAATGTACTACAATTATTAATGTTGATTTTATTAGTAGTAGGAGTAGCACTGATCTGATCTCAGGAAGATTTATTGATCTGGGTGGAAAAAACTACCATTTAAAAACTTATTAGCAGCAGTGCAGTTATTAACAATATTATTACTAATAGTGCGAGTAGTAATAGTAATTGTATTGTTACTAATAATAGAACTAAAAGTACTATTATTATTATTATTATTATTATTATTACAATCATTATTACAACTACTATTCTTATTATTACCATCATTGTTATTGCTCTGATGTGAGTGAGTGAGTGAGTGGAGGAGTATCTGAAAGCTGTGCCGTCACTCTGAGAGCTGTGACTCTCTGATCTGATCTGTAACGAAGCCTCTGATCTGCTGTCAGTGATGCTGAAGCGTCTCTGCTGGTCTGTTGTTTCAGGATCTGTTCACACTGAGTGAATCAGAGTCTCCTAAAAACCCTGAATAAGGTAAATAAACGCGGCTCAGATCCGTCAGTGAAACCTAAGCAGCGTCCGAGGGGCCGAGCACAGGACGGGGGGGGGGCGCCTCATTAACCCCGTCACCGCCGCAGGAACTGATAGCTAGAACATGTCCGTTCATGCCTGCAGTGGAGTTACACCAGAAACGCCGAAAATTCACCATCAGAACCCAATCAGAGAACTGGAGGAGAACCGGCCGTCACAGACAGACGGATCGCTCGGACTCGCTCGGTCAGGATTCGGGGAACGAGGAAGAGACGGAGAGGAACCTGCAGCTCTGGAGAACGAGAGAACTTCAGGAGAACAAAGAGGAGGAACACACATGGCTCTGTGTGCTGCGACCAGCTGAAGGTGATGATTCAATCAGTTGAGACTGAATTATGTTACAGTCAACATTACAATAATATGATGTATGCACTAATTCTCAGGCTTTTTAATAAATCTAATAACTAATTAGAGATTTATGAAAAGAATCTAATATTTATTATATATATTAAGTATCTAAATAATATTCTATTTTTCTACTGCAGAGTCGGACTGCGACACACTTAAAAAAGGCATTTTTATGCTAATTTTAGTGCACAAATTCTCTTTAACACATCGGAAAAAAAGTAAGCATAGATTATAAAATATGCCATTACTTTCACGCAGACCTCATAACATTTTGTCAAATTCAGTAAATAAACAGTAATTAAAATGTGCAGTCGTGTGTCTCTGTAGAGGATGTGTAACTTATTTACACTTAGAAAATTAATACATACAGGGCGCACAAACTTTTGTAAACAGCTGTACCAAAAAATCAACAGAACCGCATGTTGTGAACAAAACTTCCGTTAATGAAGATAAAATCTTTAAAGTAAGCTCATCTACTGAGCTCAGTGTCCTCAGGTTCATTTCACAGAGCAGTAATTCTCAGTGGTAGTTCATCTAACAGTTCATGCAATTAGAAATATTTTAATATCAAACTGTTAAAAATAACTGCTTTTAAATGAGCTCACACTGCAAGTACAGCAGGAGAACTGCAGCTAACGCTGGACTCCAGTGGACACAGCAGAGCTCCAGCCATAACTGATCAGACTCAGATCTCAACACCGTTCAGGGATGAAGTGATGTTTCATTTGTTTTGCATCACCTTTATAGATTGTATATAAGTGTAGCTAATATACACACAAATCTATAAAGGTGATGCAAAACAAATGAAACATCACTTCATCCCTGAACGGTTTTGAGATCTGCTGTTTTCCATCACCTTTATAGATTGTGTGTATATTAGCTACCTTTATAGATTGTATATAAGTGTAGCTAATATACACACAAATCTAGCAAACTAACTAATAGGCTGCAGCCAAAGAGACCAGATATCAAAAACCACATTCAGAGACACTATCACACTGCTCACAACGTAAACGGCTCAAATAACGGTAGATAACTCTGTGGAGGAGTGCGGTAACAACTGAATTAACATTAGCTAACTCCGTTACAGGCTTGTGTACCGTTAGCCTACTCAGCTAACTCTGAGCCGTCTTAACGTTAGCTAACTAATAGTTTCTGTTCTTGTGCTTCACTTTCTGAAGCTCCAGTTCTGCGTGAGGTTCTCTGAGGAACGGTTCTCTGAGGAACAGTTCTCTGAGGAACGGTACTCACGGTGCAGGTGACGCTCTTGGCCGTGCCGGACTGCTGGAAGCGCAGCGTGAAGCCGTGAGCTCCGGGATAGTCGGTCGCCACGGGAACGGTGGGGGCAGGCGGGGACGTGGACGGCTGGGGGGGCTCGGCCGAAACTTCACCGAACAGAGGCTGATCCAGCATGCTCTGAAGATCCTCAGGGAACTGGAGTAAAACCGTTCAGATCATCATCATCATCATCATCATCATCAACAACATCATCATCACAGAGGTTGTTCACACTAAATCTGATTTTTCTGGAGAGTGAAAATGATTTTTAGTCTAATGCAGGAGTCGCAACCCGAACGTTAAGAAGAGCTTTTAACCCGCAAAAATCAAACCACCTTAGCTTTGGTTAGCTGCTTTTCTCGCATCTCCAGCAGGAAACATTCTCACAAAAGTAGAACAGTTTCTTGTAAAATGTCTCTCAATGTTCGAAATTAAACGAAGTCGCTTCTCATTCGCCGGATTCTTGTTGGAATTTTCCCGTTCCACCTTAAATGGTGCCTGAGACACCAGAATGTAACTGCTGCACCATTTAAGGTGGAACGGGAAAACACAACTGAGAACCTGACATCAGCCTCGTGTTTGTCAGTTTCTCGTTGCAGATTAAACGTATCAGGAAACCAGCTGGAGTGATTATAAACACTAATCAGTCCATTCATCTCTAAATTATCGACGTTCATCTTAAATCTCTCTCTTTGCCGTTTCGTTAGCTACTATCTAGGCGAGACTGTTGTCTGTGTTGCTATGGTGACCAGCAGTCTGGGCTGATCTTCAGGGTTAAAGGGTGAATTAGCAGTTCTACATTAACTCCAGAGTTTAAGACCATTTATTGTTAAACTGTGTTGAACGATCAGCAGAGCTTTATTTTACTGTAAAGGAGGATTGTGTTATTTCGGAGCTGCATGATGCCGACCCACGGTGAGGTGGAACGGGCGGAGCCCACTCCAATACCACTTTTAAACACTTTGAGAATCCAAGAAGATGGGAAAAATGGATTCCTCGAGAAGCAGCCATGAAGAATTTCCTTCTTTCTTTGTAGCAGCCAATCATTCTACAAAGCAGACGAGGCTCCACCAGGATGAACGACCGCAGCAGTAAACAGTCTCTGTGTTGTACTGAAGTTCTCGCCATGGTTTCCCGCCTTTCAGCCACAACCATACGTATGTCTTCATTAACAACCACATTTTTATAATCGCATATGTTTTTGTGCTGCTACAGTCAGGACGAGCTGCTCTGCCGCTACCATAATGAACATTTCTCTACACTGTAACCACGACAACGGAGCTCAAATCGGCCAGCTTGATTCGTAACATCTGTACAAACGCGGACATTAAAACAGGCTTTGATTACGACACTCAGACTTTTTAATCCCATCAACAAAATTCAAACCACCCTGGGTTTGATTAGCTGCTTTTCTCACATCTCACACAGCAGGTGAAATCCTTTTCCTCATGTGTGACGCAGACGTGTGTCTGTGTGTCAGTGTGAACAGATAAACACTCTGAATCTGACATGAATCTGATTAGAGACGCTTTCATACGTGGTGCTGAAATCCGTATCCGATACGTGGCAGCGCGACTCAGTCTGAACAGCCAGATTGGAACTCAAATGACGTTGATCCAACTCCACATTTGTCATAATTTCGCAATGCTGTGACCTCAAACATCTGGGCTGATGTTTCTGTACAAACAAAATTAGAAGAAGCTCATCCGAAACCGTTCCGCGTTTGAAGAGATTTCAGGAAAAATCCGTGGGAGAACGAGGCTCCAGCATCAAAGAAAAGCTACAAGTCTGAAAGCAAAGTTTAAAGAAACCAACAACGCAAACCAAAGAAGTGGGCGTGGCTGAATACCGTGGCCTTTTTACAGCGAGATCGAGCTCATTCTGGGTGACGAGTCCGGCTGTCAGTCATCAGAACTTCTTATCAGCTCCTGAGATGCTGAGAAGATGAAGCTGAAACCTGTCACTGTTCACTCCATTCTGACTGGTTTCCTCTGGATGAGCCACGTGAAGCTTCCTCTGCACATGTGGGTCAGTTTAGGAGCTGATCTGTTCACACTGAGGTCAGATGAAGGTCACATATAAAGGACAGTGTGAACAGCCTGACCAAAAAAAACATAACCGATTTGGGCCACTTTCACCTGCTGTGTGAACGCAACCTGGACAAAAACACTGCTCCGCATGGCGACAGACATACACGACTTCTGCTGGCTGCAGGTGGGTGTTATGAGGACGTTCACGTGAAATCCAAGTGTAAAGTCGTCTGGCTAAGCCGGATTAACACGTAACGTCTGTTTTTACAAAGCGAATTAAGTTTTTTCCGAGGGTAGAAATCAGATTCTATGTGAAAACACCTTAATAACGGAGTGAAAAAACATAACGAGAGAAAAACATAGCAAAAGAGGACAGGGAACAAAAGGGTGTCAGAAGAAACAAACAAAAGAAAACTGAGAAGAAAGAATGAAGGAGAGAGAAGAGAGAACAAAAGAAAAAGAGGGTGCAAAAGAAGAGAGGAGAGCGAGTGAGAGGGAGTGATAAGAGAGAAGAAAAAAAAAGTGAGATACAGAGAGGGAGAAGAATGAAACAAAGAAAGAGAGAAAGTGAATGAATGAAGACTTACCTCTTCGTTTCCCCATGGACTATTTTCAGGTGTCTGCCCCCTGAGAGAGAGAGAGAGAGAGAGAGAGAGAGAGAGAGAGAGAGAGAGAGAGAGAAGTGAGATAACCGCACTAATATGATCACTCACAGTGTTATTGTCTAGTATAACTAATGAAGGTGAGACTGAAGCCACCTTCAATCACTATTAGTGAACTTCGACCTGGACGAGTGAAACCCTCTCAGCCGTGTGTGTTACTCTGGGAATCTCGTCTCAGCAGGACTAAACTCTCAGATCAGCCCCCCTCTCTAAATGTATCAGTGCGGTACGGCTACTAATCCGAACCCAGAAATCTCCACTAGGGCTGCGACAAACTAACATTTTCATAATCGATTAGTTGGTCCGTTTTGACTCCGATTAATCGATTAGTTGGTCCATTTTGACTCCGATTAATCGATTAGTTGGTCCGTTTTGATTCCGATTAATCGATTGGTTGGTCCGTTTTGACTCCGATTAATCGATTGGTTGGTCCGTTTTGACTCCGATTAATCGATTAGTTGGTCCATTTTGACTCCGATTAATCGATTAGTTGGTCCGTTTTGACTCCGATTAATCGATTAGTTGCAAAACGAAACCCTGCAGATATTAGTCTGGCAATAATGTCCCTTTGCACCAATTAAAAATAGAAAGGTTATTATTTGTTCAAAAAAAACCCCAAAAAACCAATAACTCCAACAAATCACTTATTAGCCATGTTATCGACAATTCTGATCAGTTGTTGCTGCCCTGCTATCCACATCCTCCTCCAGTACCTGCGTCTGTTTGCCAACACGTAATGGTACCTGTGAAAGTGGGCGGGGCTCTGGAGGTCATGTGAAGGTCACAACGGGAAACACAAACAGTGACAGCGACGATGCAAACAGTCCAGGTCCCGACTGAGATTTTACTGGGTTTGTTTTATGTGAAGAGGCACAGACGGAGATTCTGGATAGCGTTTTTTTAGAAAAATAGATTTGTGCGATTCGAGTGACCTTCAGCCTCAGAAGCTCCGCCCACACATGCACTGAGCACCTGAACCTTTGCGCACTGAGCTGGACAGAACCATGGGGATTCTGAGAGCAACTCAAGTGGGTTTTATCAGTTAGATGCCAAACACAGCTCTGAGGCAGCTCCTCGCTCTGAGGCAGCTCCTCGCTCTGCGCCGGGACTGAGCTTTCAGAGCGACACACGGACTCAAAGAAAAGTGTGTGATGTTCACAGCGTCACGTCAAACTGACGCACCAATCCGGCTGTGTTCAGGTGCAGGACAATCAAATCTGTCTCTTAAATCAGATCTTCTGAGGCGGCTTATTTGCCCACATTGTTATTTGCAAATGATCAGATCTGATTTGTGTGTCCAGACATCACCAGCCGACCTGCATGGGTTGCTGGACACAGATTAAGGCTAGTCTTGGACTAAACTGCATCATCAGTCTGAGCGCTTACATGAGGTTCTGCAGCCACAGCTCAGCGAACTCCTGGCTCTCTGAAGGCTCCTCCATGGCGGCCTGCGGCTCCATCGGCAGCGGGCTGGAGCTCAGCGGCCCCACAGAGCTGGGGAACGAGGGAGGGAGAGGGGGAAGAGGAAAAGAGAGAAAGAAAAGAGGAGGTGAGGACGTTAGTACAGACAAGGGTTATCAGACACAAAATTAGGCACCAAAAAACTAAACCTCAGTTATTAAACACTCTGAATTTCCTCCCGACTCACTGTTCTGAATTATTTCAGCAACTTATTCCCCCCAAAAAATTACTGCAGGTTCTGAAGTGTTTTACCAAACAGGTGCTGGACTTAACTACTTTCTCAACTATTTTAACAACATCCTAATAAAATAAATCAGTAGTAATTAATAGTTTCTGAATTTTTCTCAAATGACCTCTGGCATTACTGTAATGTACAATTTTACAAATCTGACACTAAAATTACAGTATTTAAAACAGTATTTTACTAACCTGATACTGAAATTATGACAACAATGCAGTGTTTTACCATCCTTACGTTTAAATTACAGCATTTAATGCACTATTTCACCAACTGATACTAAAAATACTGAAAGTAATGCACTATTTTACTAAATTGACACTGAAAAAACTAAAATTAAATGCAACCATTTACTACCTGATACTGAAAATACTGAAAGTAATGTACTATTTTACTATCCTTACACTGACAATACTCAAATTAATGTACTATTTTACTAACCTGAGACTGAAAATACTGAAAGTAATGTACTATTTTACTAACCTGAGACTGAAAATACTCAAATTAATATACTATTTTACTAACCTGAGACTGAAAATACTGAAATTATTGTACTATTTTACTAACCTGAGACTGAAAATACTCAAATTAATGTACTATTTTACTAACCTGAGACTGAAAATATTGAAATTAATGTACTATTTTACTGAGCTGAGACCGAAAATACTGAAATTACACCAGTTGGAGCTCTTTAACCGGGTTAGCTAGGATGCTAAGCTAAATTAGCTCAGTATCCTGAATGGGGAAAAGGCTAAATCTGCTAATTATTTAATATAAACTTCTCTCAGACGAACACAAACTGACTTTCCTCCATTCTGGGACTCAGACCGACTAACATACCGAGTATCAGCGCCACTGCGAGCTTCGGCGAGCTGGCTAAGCTACTTTAATGAACACCGGTTCGGTTAAACGCGGTCAGCTGCGGCTGTTTAAGAGCTGAACTCATTAAAATGCCGCCTGAATGTGACTTTGACTGTAATAAGACTGTAATAGGTGATAAATGTGCATTTTAAAGAGTGTTTTTTGATGCTAACTGCATTTCCTGATCTGAACGTCACTCCAACGTTCCCACGCAGGCCGCATACCCGACTCTCACATTCACACAACTTCACTAAAAACCCCGAAAACGAGTTAAAATATCGCACACAGCTGAAATGTGTGCAAATGCTTAAGTTGGTTTTCCATTCACCAGCTTCTTGTTCGAATTTTGCCGTTCCACCTTAAATGGTGCCGCAGTTACAATACAGCGATTGAAACGCCAGAACGTTGCCGCGGCGCTATTTAAGGTGGAACGGGGAAATTATCTGAGAACTGCGATTTATCGCAAATTCACTTGCCGACTTTTATTCGCTGTGCAAAGTAACCGCAAAAAAGTGATGACGGCGGTGCGAACAGGTAAATATTATCTCTTTTTTACCTCTTATTCCAAAAAAGCGACCGAGTTTCCGCTGAAAGTCCTCCAAGATGATCTTCAACCAACAAAAACACTCGAATTCTCCGCTCCAGCTAATCCCTATTTTCTCACAACGCTGCCGGGGAATTCCCCAGGAGGCGGGGCCAGGCGCCACGTGACGCGAGCACGACGACCAATCGGGTCTCTGTAAGCCTGTGACATTAAATCCGCTTCAAAAACACGATGCCTATCATTAAAGGGGAACTCCACCGATTTTTCAAACTTTCTGCATATTTAATCGGTTGAGATGTAAACAGAGTCGTTCAGAGTGGTTTGGTGTGAAACTCTCTGTTCTAGAGAAACTTACCGAGTCAGAGTTGTTCACAGTGGTGGTGATAGGAACCAGACGTCCACCTCTAAAAGCTCCCTTACAGAAAGTTATGGATGGTATTTAGGTTCTGGATAGTAAATAAAATGTCTATATTTGTGCTGTAGTCATGGCGACCCCTGGTTCCTGTCACCACCACTGTAAAGACAATTCCGCTTTCAGTTAAAGCAGAGACCACCCTTGTAAACCCCTTCACTCAGGTTATGCTTTTATATATCACTCAGTATAATAATACAAGGAAGTCTGATCTTACATTTTCAAATAGTAATTAGTGGCCTCTATATAGTAACTTGTAGTACCTTGTGGTCTCAATATATTAATGTAAAGATTACATTTACATTTACTTCATGTAATTGATAGACACAGACCCAGATTATTGTTCTTCAAGCTTAGTGTGTCATTCATGGATGCAAAATATTCCAAAAATTAAATTGTAGTTTAAAGAGACCCTAAAGTGACATAGTGATTTTATTTAAAAAGCGTGGCCACAAATTACCATTTTGAGGTCACAAGTTAAGGTTCTATCAACTCATGGCCTCAATATATTAATGTGTGGCCTCAATATATTAATTTGTGGCCTCAACATAGTAACTCATGGCCTCGATATATTTATTTGTGTCCGCAATATAGTAACATGTGGCCTCAATATAGTAATTAGTACCTTCAACATATTAAGTCGTGGCCTATATAGAGTAACTCATGAACAGAATATATTAATTTGCGGCCTCAATACAGTAATTAGTGGCCTCAATATATTAATACATAAAGTCAATATAATAACTTGAGGCCTCAACATATTAATTTGTGGCCTCAGTATAGAAATTAGTGACCTCAATATAATAATGTGTGGCCTCAATACAGTAATTTGTGGCCTCAATATATCAATAAGTGGCCTCAATACAGTAACTTATGGCCTCAATATAGTAATTAGTGGTCTGCATATATTAATAAGAGGGCTCAATATAGTGACATGTGGCCTCAATATATTAATGAGTGGCCTCTATATATTAATGTATGGACTCAATACAGTAACTTATGGCCTCAATATAGTAATTAGTGGTCTGCATATATTAATAAGAGGGCTCAATATAGTGACGTGCGGCCTCAATATATTAATGAGTGGCTTCTATATATTAATGTATGGACTCAAAATAGTAATTTATGGCCTCAATATATTAATTTGTGGCCACATTATTAAAAATAAACACCATGTCATCCTTAGGGCTCTGTAGTAGTTATTATTAATTGTGTTGTTTTTTCCTTCAGAATGCAGCACCGCTACTGTTTATTATTTCATGACACTGAGGCTGACCAGCCCCTCAATTTAAGGGCAGCTCTCAAAAAAGCCTGGAGAAGAATGTCTGTTTTGTTGTCTACTTTCAAAGTTTTAGGCAATTAAAACTCATACATACACTATTATTATTATCTAATGCGTATATTTAGTGATTGAACTTTGCATCCATAAGTAATATTTGAGGTCCTGTGGGAACTGATCTCCCCTCTCGGTGGCGCAAATGGTTCAGTCTGAGCCTGAACTGCAGCAGCTGTTAAGGTGAAGCCATTCCGAGATCATCAAAGCAGAGAAAGCAAAGAGAAAGCAGGCACAGCGAGCTTCTGCAGAGGCAGGGTGAACTTACAGCTCAGCAAAAGCTGGTGAAAGGTTTAGTCTTGTGTTCAGTCCTGTAGCTCTGCAGTTTATCAGTAATGAACGACTCATTGCTGATGTAATGGAGACACTGTGCTGCCTTAAAGGGGAACTCCACTGATTTTTCAAAATTCCTCCATAATTCAGTGTGTAAGATGTAAACAGAGCGGTTCAGAGCAGTTCAGATTGGTTTGGCATGAAACATTCTTTTCTAGATAAACTTCCCGAGTCAGAACTGTTTATTATTTCAGATTTTCCACTATTTTCCATCATCAACATTCCATATAAACTCAGAAGACTCGTGTAGGTTCACTGGTGGTTCTGGATAGTAAATAAAATGTCTATATTTGTGTTGTAGTCATGGCGACCCCTGATTCCTATCACCACCACTGTAAAGACATCTGAACCATTTCACACCAAAATACTCTGAATCTCTCTGTTTTCATCCAACACACTGAATTATGGAGGAATTTTGAAAAATTGGTGGAGTTCCTCTTTAAGCTTAGCTTGCATTAGCCGAGCTAATAAGCTGAGCTAGCTCATCACAGAGGACCAAAGGAAAAATATTGATCCGTTTGGACCAAAAAGAGAGCAGAGTGGGGAACACAAGTCTGAAAAATGTGCCCACAGGCTACAATCAGCGATAAACTGATCATAATTCTCATAATTACGTTATTTGTCAACATAACATTTAACATTAGCTTTAACGTAGATTCGCTTTAAATCGTTATTAAATGTTGCAGAAAAACCTCCAGACTCTAAAATATCACCCTCGACCATAAGATCCTTCAGGATTATATATGTAATGAGTTTTATTCGGTGTAAAAGTGGATTATTTTGGATGTAAACAGCGCCTCTGTAACAGAAAGAGGTGCAGAAAGCGTTATTTTTTCGCTACCCGTATTCAGACAAGCCCCGCCTCTTCCTGCGCTCTGATTGGCTATTACATTCAGCCCGTCAAGCCCGCCGTATTCTGAGAAGCCCTTTGGCTGCTTGTTAGTTTGAAAGTTAAAGTGACAGCCAATCCGATCGCAGCAGGGGCGGGACTTTCTCCCTCTGGGTGTAACGCTCGTCAGAACGAACTTGTAGCCAATCGCAGCGGGAATGCGCGGTGCGGCCAGCCAATCAGAGCGCAGAAGGCTGATTTAAAAGCGGCGGGGCCGGATCGCGGCGCAGACGGCGAGTGAGATGTGAAAGTGGCGGTTCTGACTGAGTTCAGTCCGCAGTTGTTGGTGTGAAACTCCTGAACAGTCAGATCGGCTCCCGCAGCGCTTCCACTGAGACCTCGCGCTCTTTCATCACCTGCTCCCTCCATTCAGACTGAAAGAACGATCAGAGGAATTTAAGAAGTTCTCGATCATCTCCTCTGATCTGCGTCACCACACTGACCCCCGCGACCTCCACACAGGGGTCTTACTGCTCACCAGCTTCGACAATATAATACAATATCATTTACCTCCCATATCATTTACTGGTTTACACACAGTGCACCTTCACAGCACGCATCAGTGTGTAGATATATACACACACATATAGTATAATATATATGCTTATTAAGGGTATACTTAATTATATATATATAATTAAGTATACCCTTAATAAGCATACCCTTATTATATATAGCATTTATATAATATACTGCAAATGCAATCTACTGTTACTACAGTATAAAAACAATGTAACATTATTATAATGTTAATACAGTATAACATGAATCTGATATAATGTTAATTGTTAATAGAATATAATGTTAGTGCAGTATAATGTTAGGGGGTAAAACTATATAATAATATTAATAAGCATACCCTTATTACATATAGCATTAATATATATATATATATATATATATATATATATATATATATATATATATACATATAGCATTAAAATATATATATATATATATATATATATATATATATATATATATATATATATATATTTTAACCTGCTAACATTATACTGCATTATATTCTATTATTATTAACACTATATCAGATTAATGTTATTAAATGTTATATGTAATAACGGTACACTGTTATACTGTTTCAGCTTTATTAACATTACACTGTATTAATGTTATACTGTAGTGATGATCTGCTGCATTAGCATTACACTGTTTTAACACTGTATTACACTGTTGTGTTGAATTAGCGTTCTATTACATTAACATTATACTGTATCAACATTATATTGTATTAATGTTGTATTAATCTTATATGAACAGCATACTGCCTTAATATTATGTTGTATTGTAGTAATGTTATATTAACATTATAATAATGTTGTGTATTGTATCAATGTTATATTAATGCTATATTATGTTGTGATAATGCTATATTAATGCTATACTGTGTTAATGCTGTATCATGTTGTGTTGTATTAATACTATATTATGCTGAACTGTATAAATGCTATATTATGTTGTATTAATGCTATATTACGTTGAGTTAATGTTATACTATATTAATGCTGTATAATGTTGTGTTGTATTAATGCTATATTAATGCTATACTATATTAATGCTGTATAATGTTGTGTTGTATTAATGCTATACTATATTAATGCTGTATAATGTTGTGTTGTATTAATGCTATACTATATTAATGCTGTATAATGTTGTGTTGTATTAATGCTATATTAATGCTGTATAATGTTGTGTTGTATTAATGCTATACTATATTAATGCTGTATAATGTTGTGTTGTATTAATGCTATACTATATTAATGCTGTGTCATGTTGTGTTGGATTAATGCTATATTAATGCTATACTGTATTAATGCTGTATCATGTTGTGTTGTATTAATGCTATATTAATGCTATACTATATTAATGCTGTATCATGTTGTGTTGTATTAATGCTATATTAATGCTATACTATATTAATGTTGTGTCATGTTGTGTTGGATTAATGCTATATTAATGCTATACTATATTAATGCTGTATCATGTTGTGTTGTATTAATGCTATATTAATGCTATACTGTATTAATGCTGTATCATGTTGTGTTGTATTAATGCTATACTGTATTAATGCTGTATCATGTTGTGTTGTATTAATGCTATACTGTATTAATGCTGTATCATGTTGTGTTGTATTAATGCTATATTAATGCTATACTGTATTA